TCACGCGTTATGTTAATGGCAAATTTATGGACTAAAGTCAGATTAGTAAATGGAGCAATGGGAACAATTGAAGATATTCTGTTTGGATGACAGGGGCCACCTTTACTTTCTGTAGCAGTTTTCATAAGATTTGATATATATGAAGGAGCTACCATCACAACCTTAGAAGGGGAAAAAGTCGTACTGATTGTACTAGTAAAACGTACCTGGGAAGATAAAAATGATACAGCGTATTTTCGGCTTCAGGTACCTATATACCTCGAGTGGGCCATTACAGTATATAAGAGTCAGGGACTAACAATAACAAAGGCGAAAATAGACCTTAAAAACAAAGAATTTGCTGCGGGTCTTTTGTTTGTTGTGATATCACGAGTTCAGTCACTTAACGATATATGCTTTAAACAGTTCACACTCGACAGGCTTTAGCGTATCAAGAACTGTAAAAGGTTACAAGAAAGAAAGGAAGAAGAGGCGCGCCTGCTTACTATGATACCTCGCGAATGATATAATAAAGGTTTATTTTTAGTCATACGAAAATTTTTTTTTTTATATTTCGTTAAACACAATTCAATTTTTTCATTTTGGCTAAAGAAGAACTAAAGAAAAAACTAAAGAAAAAAAAATAATAAAATAAAGAACAATAAACGTGTTTTTTTTATTTTTCGACATAATAACAAAATCGCAAAATCTAGATCAATAAAAACATTAGGGTTAAAAAGTGCACGGACGATTGCTTCTTTCAGGGGAACACAGAATTCTGTGGGTAACGTGACGAACCAATCAGCATCGAATCGATCTGTGAGTGGGTGGACATTGGGACATTTCTGTGTCATCTTGCATAGACATATATAATCCTTCGCTTCACTCTGGACTAATTATTAATTTATACTTCATTTAAACTTTTAAGAATAATACTAATATTACCATTTCTAATCCAATTATTATCATTGTATAAATATGATTTAATAAATCCATCAATCCAAGTTGCTTTATATATAATACTAAATCTTACTTTATCAAAGTATTCAATATTTTCAAATTTATTATAAGTAATCTATTCTAATAATTGCTTTTTATTTTGAGTATTTATTTACACATTTTGAATAAATTTATCAATAAATCTATTTTTACTAGTCCAATTAGAAAAATTTTGTTGAAATAATTTAGAATAACATTTATTATACCATTTATATCCAGTATTCATTTTTATTATAATTTGAACAAATACCCTTTTTTCTAAATAATAATTTTAAAGTATTAATATTTTAAATATTATTTTATTAATATATTAAAATATAATACTTACTTAATAAATATATTTATTAAATTATAATAAATATTATTATTATTTAATTATACTTAAATTATATATATTTATTAATAAAAATAAAAAGTAACTTATCATCTAATAAATTAAATTATTTAAATAAATAAAAATTTAGTTGACTTTAAATTACAGTAATAATTATAATTAAATACTGGTAATCAATAAAAATAACTTACCATCTATTATATTATTAATTATTTTTTAAATAAAAAATTTAGTTAACTTTAAATTATAGTAACAAGTATAATTAAATACTGATAATCAATAAAAATAAATTATAATCTAAATTATTATAAAATTTAGTTAATTTTAAATTACAGTAAATTAAATACTGATAATCAATTAAAATAACTTACAATCTAAATTATTATAAAAAATTAAATTACAGTATAAAGTATAGTTAAATATTAATAATCAATAAAAATAACTTATGATCTAAATTATTATAAAAAATTTAGTTGACTTTAAATTACAGTAACAAGTACAATTAAATACTAATAATCAATAAAAATAACTTACCCTCTAATAAAATTTATTTTTTTAAATAAAAAATTTAGTAGACTTTAAATTATAGTAATAAGTATAAATAAATACTGAAAATTAATAAAAATAACTTATATTCTAATAAAATTTATTTTTTTAAATAAAAATTTAGTTGACTTTAAATTACAGTAACAAGTGTAATTAAATACTGATAATTAATAAAAATAACTTACCAACTATTATATTATTATAAAAAATTTAGTTAACAATAATAAATATAAATAAATACTAATAATTAATAAAAATAACTTACTATTTATTATATTATTAATATTCTTTTAAATAAAATTTTAGTCAACTTTAAATTATAATAATATTACACAAAGAAGGCATGGATAATGATGATCTAAAGGATGACGTCAATCCCTAAGAAATCATATATGTCTTCTATATCATTTATGTTGTCTATAACATATATTTCTTTTATTTATTTTACTTTATTTATTTCATATATTTATTATATTTTATTTATTATATTTATTTCTTTTATATCTTCGATAACTTTATATTTTTCATTTTATATAAATAGAGGACAATTTCTTTTAGCTTAGCAGTATGTCTGACTCATAGTTTTATATAATAGTTTAGTTTAATCCCTCTAACATAATTGTATAGTACAGAGCGCTAACTAAGGCAGTACTCCATTATTATAGTTATTAAATAAACTGTAAATTTACTGATACTATTCTAAATCTAAATATCAAATTAAACCTTCTGCTTACCATTCATAAATATTGCTTTGCTTATCACTCATAAGCATCTTAAAGAACTGAATATAATAATAAAAAAATTAATTATTTACTTTCTATAATATTATAAAGAATATTAATATATGTAAATTATAATAAATATAATTAATTGAATTAATAAAATAATTTACTTTCTAAATAATTAACATTTTATTTTTAATAAAATTTTTATTTATTAATTATAATAAATATTAAATAAAAATTATAAATATAAATAATTTACCAACTAAAAAATTATTAATTATCATTAAATATTTTTTATATAATAAATTAAGACGTAAAAAATAAATAACTTACTCCTTATAGTATTATTTATTAAATATTTTTTAAATAATAATTTAATTAAATTTAAATTATATAAATTAAAATATAATAAATTAAATAATTTACAATCTAAGTATTACCATTTTTAAAAATATTAATTATTAAATAATTATATAAATAAATAATAGATAAATAAAGCTTATTACCATTAATTCTTCTAATATAGAAGTATTTGAAACTGATTCTATATTTGAATTTGATAAATTTAATTTTAGGCAAACAAAAAATGAGCATCATTAATGAATTAGAATGTGATTAAATACATGTATTACCTTTAGCATCTGAAACTGGTTCTAATGTAAATTTATGAAAAAAAAAGATTTTAGAATACCATCAAACCGTTAAATTAATTCATTTTAGGCATATAAAGCTTCATATTTTTATTCCTTTTTCTTGTTTAGTGAAAATTTTTTATTACATTCTTACCTTTATAATTACTATTAAACATTGTTATAACTTATAATAAAAAAAAAAGTTTTTTTAGAAAAACTTTTATTTCAATCAAATCATCTTATATATTGATAACAGAAATTAATACATTGTTAATATATGTAGATCTTACTGTATTTAAAAGTATGAAGTACAGCACTTTAAAAATAATAATTAATTTTTTTTCAAATGTGGATTTTTTTAATTTTTCTTTTCTTTTCCTTTCCTTTTTTTTTATTCTTTTTTGAATTTTTCATTTGATTTTTTTCGTTTTTAATTTTTGTTTGTTTTTCTTTTATTTTTATTATTTTTTTTGTATTTTTCTTGTTTCGTTTCTTTTTCTTTTTCTTTTTCTTATTTAATTTTGTTTTTTTTATTCACTTTTATTTTATTTCTTTGTTAGAATACTTTTTTCGTTGATTAATTTAAAGTTAACGAAAAATTGCAGGTCACATGGTCAGAGAAAATGTCACAATTGATGTCGATCATTTAATAAATCAATTTTGTGTAATTATAACTGCGCAAAGTTAATATTAGAACTAAAATTTAACTATACATTAAAAATTTTTTAAACTTTCGCCAGTAATACTTCATGTCTTATACTACATATTTCTACAGTTTTTATAACACTTCAATATTTATATAAAAAATATTAGCGATGTAACTTTACTCACTTTTTCACTTTTATATCGCTGATTGAACTTATAAACACACTTGAAAGTTTGCGATTACCACCCAAATATCAAAATTTTGTTTTTTATTGCATTTTAGTTTTTGATATTATTAGATTAAAATGTAATAAGGTCTTAATTTTAGTCAAAAAAAATTCCCAGAGCCCCATTTTCCTAGCAAACTTCCCATATAGTCATCCAAGAATAAAAAAAGTCGAAATTTAATTCTTCGCCACAAGTTCGCTGGTGGAGAATATTATAATATCAATCACTTAACTTTGAAAGCTTGTAAAAATCATTGAAAATGATTTTGAATTCATTTAATCATTATTTTTAAATTCATTTAGTTCGAAATTGAATAATCCGGAAATCACAAATTACCTTTTTTACTATAATTTAAATTTTTTTGATAATCCTGGGGAATCTAACCAATAAAGGGAAATATTATTCGCAATAAATAATTTAGTAATGTTTCACAAAGTCATTTTTTAATCATTCCTATCCTATTGAGTTGTTATTGTTATTTATTTAATATTAATCGAATTAATTACGATCAATAAATTTTCATACTTTCATTCTTTACGGGACTTTTTGAGATCTTCAATAAGTCTTGCCAATAACAGTTCTTACTAATTAAAAAAACGAAAAAATGTATTTGATCGACGATAACTGTACAACCATTTTACCTTGATAAAAGAATAACGAAAATCCTTTTTTTTTTTTTTTTTTTTTTTGTTCCAATTATTTATTTGTCTTCATTAAATAATAGTGTTCAAAGAATTCAAAAAAACCAAAGTTTCACATGAAAGGAGTGTAATTTTGAGAAATTATGACAAATACGATGGACATCAATATGTTGCCATAAGTCCAAATGGTAACTGGATAGTAGCGTTAAACACTAAATCTTATCAAATAAAATTATATAAGTTTGAAGATCTAAAAAAAGCATATATGATAATGAATTTTGATGATAGAAATATCAAAATCCCCTTTTTAAAAAAAAATTGGAGCTTGACCGTTTCCAATGAATTCATTTTGACCGATGGAACTGTCGAAGTATTAATTGCCGTATCTTGTTTTGATCATGATGATATGAAAGTAAAAAAGAACAAGAGTAAATCACCACAACCACCTTATAATGAAGATTCTTCAGATGAAGAAGCTGATGTCAATGTGAATGATAATGACCAAGATAAATCTTCAACATTCATCATTGCTACCGCACGACAATTGAAAATCGCCTCCCCAATTAATAATAAGGGTGGGATAATTAAATTTTTGGACACTAAAAATGATGACGATACAACCGAGTTAGTTCTTATCAATGCGCGCGGAATAACAAAAGCCTCCATAATACATGGTACAATTGGAAGTGTAAATTATAATAGAAAAAGTGATTATTCCAACTTTTTTTATTCTAATAAATTAATTGAAATATTTAATTTTCCAAAAAGTTTTTATGAGGAATTGAAAAGGTTACCAAAAAATGAAACATGTGCTTATTTCATTCATCGTTGTCTGATAAAGGACTGGTTAGTTGTAGAAAATTATAAAGATAAGGTACTATCCATTATAGCATATAATTTAAAAACAAAAAAGCTGGACAATTTCTTCCGAAAACGTGAAAAATCCGTTACTTCGATTGTAAATATAGGTAGTTCTTCTTTCATGATTTCAAAAAATGAAATTTTATTCGCTTATTGTTATGGTACAAATAATATTACTATCTACTTAATGGAAAATGGTTTAGAGGTTACCACAAAAAAGTTCACAGAAAAGGATGTAAAAATTATCTTTTTTGATTTCGTTGAAAATGATAGTAAATTATTGATCATCATCGAGGAAGAGAGTCATCACAGCGATGATTCGGAACCTGAACCTTTACTTGTCATCGTAATTTGGGATCTATTTAGTAGTTCTGATAATTGTGTTAGAAGAATTTATGATACATCCTCATTATTTTCCACAGAAAACGCATATCTTCAAAGATTAGCTTTCGTTTCCGGAAAACTCATAATAATCACTGAAGATGGAACGATTATTTCGGCATTAGAACAATTAAATATTGATAAATTATTGAATCCTGAAAATAATAATACGAGAAACGTAATTAACACGACTTCACCTGAAAAATTTGGCATCACTTCTACATCAACCACAACTATTACCTTAACAGATTATCATTTATCTTATGATCTTCTTGGAAATCCGTTAGACCATGAAACTGTTCAAGCGATAGTTGAAGATCCTGAACCTTGGCTACAAAACAAGTATTATAATCGTACCACGGTTTATCTTGATGAGAGAAAATCTACTCAATTAATTATTGGGGAATCGACCGTTCAAGTTTGGCGCAAAAGAAAAGGAATTGCTACTGATTCTTCACCTAAAAGAATTCTAGAGTATATTTGGACAAATCCTTTTCAAGAAATGCAAATTCAATCTTTGCAAGTTGCTTATAAGGAATTCTCTTTAGTAGTATATATTCCTTCTGAAACTTCTCCTGGACTACAAGTTATAATTGAATGGCCTGATAAAGTTAATGTTCCGGTAGACGCATGCAAAGCTTTGAGATTTCTAGATCAGAAAAGTAATGAACCTACGGGTTCAAATTATCAACACACTTTTGAAAATATTATTCAACAAACTGAAAATATCATCAAAAAGTATATAGTCAGCAAAAGTGGATTATGGAGAATGCTGGATATTCGTTATGATCTTATGGCCCATCTCATTCGAGGTAATCGTGTTTCCATTGTCAAAAATATTTTATCTTTTAAATATAAAAATGGAATGAAAAAAAGTTTACATATTCCAAGACTTTATTCTTGGGACGGGCGAGTCAAAGAAACAGATCTTGAGATTGCTATCAAGTACTCGAAGGGAGAATACCGTAAAGATTCTGTTATTGTGAAATATTTATTAGATTATTATTCCGATAATGCCACAAATAATTCGAATTGGATGTTTACAGTATCCAAAGCAATTCCCCTACTTTATGAATATAAATTAGCATATTTTGTTAAGGAATTATTTCAAAAGCCTTGTTTTGGTTCTAACGAAATTTACTTGAATAGTTCGGATATTAATATTGAAGATATAATTGATAGTGATCATAAGAACATCCATGCTTTAAATATAGATATAGGTCTCATCAAGAGAAATGACTTTAAAAAAATGATTTTTCGAAAAGAACAAAGGTAATATTAATTGAAAATTCAATTTGACGGTATGAAATTCAAATTAACTTTTTTTTCTTTTTTTTTAAAAAAAAAAAATGAAGTTATAAAAATAAAACAAACAATTCGAAAATCATCAAAAAGATGGATCAGGTTTACATGGTTCCGCTCCCAGATTTTACTGTATTTCCTGTTGAGATTCATGATAAACCAGGATTCTGGAGCATTCCTATGGTCATGTTAAAATTATTGTTGTGGCCACGTAAACATTTAATAGAACAAGAAGAAAACTTGAGTCCATTTTTGAGAATGATAAGAAATGATTACACTACGGAAATTTATGATAATCCGTCGATAGCCGCAGTAATTGATTTCAAATGGAAAGAGGCAAAAACATATTTCGTAAGACAAGTAATGACTTATCTTGCATTTGGATTATCATATATTATTTTATCAAATTCAATTGAAGGACTTGGTAATCCTCAAACATCTAAAAGGAATCTTGCCCTTGTAGTCATATTTTATTACTTTGGATTTTATTTATTGAACACTGAAAGAGTTCAATTAAAATATTTAGGATGGAGAAGATATTTTAACGTTTACAATTTTTTTGATTTGTTTTCGGTCATATTGCCATTCATTTCAGCTTCTATACAAATTTATTATAAACTATTAGCTTATTTCAGATATGAAATCCACTCTGTTGCTAGTTATTTTGAACTGAATCAAGAAAATTTCATAATATTTAATGCATTTACGATTTTAGTAATGTGGATGGAAATTATTTTGGTGAGTCCTCTAATTCTAAAGACATATGATATTATAAACTTATTCGTAAAGCCAAACATTTTAAATTCTAGTTATTACGGTACTTTGAGAAAACCGGAGCTTACATATACATTGTCATGAATATCTTACAAAATATAACATCTTTCTTGATTTTTATATTGCTGATCGTCCTCGGATTTGGTCATACTATGTAAGCGGAGATTAAAGAGACTTGTCATCTTTGATGGAGGGAGACTTAATGTAATTTCTTTATTATTATTTGTTTTTTTTTAGGTTTATTTTACTTAGCAATACAGATAAAATCGGCATCAAACCTAACGGTTCCTCCTTCAAATTCTATAATGGAAATGGCGAACAAGCACCGGGGTTAACTAATTTGCTGATTAATCAAGAAATAGATGTGAATAGTACATCAGATAATCATTTCGCGAAAATTTTTAAGTCCATCGAAGCAGTTTACTTTTGGATTAACGGTCGTTGGGATCAATTAGATCAATGGGATTTCTGGCCAATAGATTTCTTTTCTATCATTGCCAGTATCCTTCTTGTTACGATTTTACAAAATATGTTGATCGCAATTATGGCGTAAGCATAAATTTCATTTCATTTTTTTTTCATTTTTTTTTTTTTTTTTTACATAAATTTATTTTTATTATTTAGTGGCGCGTACGATCAAGCAAAAGAAATTAGTAAACATGCCGCGCTGAAATACCGAGCGGAATTGATCGCAGATTATGAATTATTTGATAAACCATTTGGGAATCGAAAAGGGGATCCTCGATACATTTTTTACTTTGGAAAAACCGATTATATTGAGAAATGGTTAGAAAGATCCGAAAAATTTAGAGAAAGTTACAAGAATTTCTTGGAAGAAATAGAAGGTGCTAATCCATGGTCCTATGATGATGATGATTCGGATAATTTAGATCATTTTCAAAAGTTTCATCATCATTCTCATTCATATACCTGTTCCTCTGGTTTACCAGATGATGATTCTGAAATTTTAAATTCACAAAAACGAATCGTTCCATTATGTTTATATTGGTTTGTGGATGACGATGATGATGATGAGACGAAATCATTGAAAGAACCAGATGGTAAAATGTTGTATTATAAAGTTCAGTCCATGGAACAAGACATATCTGAAAAGTTGCGTTTAATGGAAGATAAAATCAAACAAATAATTTCATTGAAAAATCGACAATAATTAAGTTAGTGAGAAGAGATTATATATTGCTTTTGTACAATTAAATTTCATTTAGAAATTTGATGTATGCATCATTTATTTTTTATTTTTTTTGCATCATCGCATTGACAAATTTATTTTTAAATTAATTTATAATGGGAATTCCTTTTTATTTAATTTTTGACATAATAATAACACGGGAAATAACAATTAATATTATCACATGGAGTATTTTTTGGGTTCAGAAATGGTTTGTCAAGATTCTATGTCACATATTGGGTGGCTTTTGAGTTTAGTAATATTATTAGTTAATTAAAAAATTTAATAAATAAAAAAATTCAAAGTATTTGGATATATGAACCTTAATGTAAAACAAATCACAATTAAAAAAGTTTATTTTGAACAAAATTTGTTTTTCGAATTAAAAAAAATCCGAAAGCATTAAAAAAAAAGATTACAGGAAGAAAGTGATGACTTTACCGTTAGAAGTGACGAGATTTTCTTAAAGAATTTCTCAATAAATTTTATCAAAAATTACGTACGCTAATGAAATATTAGTAAGTGACAAGTTTGAAGGTAAAAATGATTCAATAATAAAATTATTAAGAAATTCTACTTTTCGAATTCGAATTAATGGAAAATTATCAAAATAAAATTATTCATGATTTTCTAGCTTAATGTATGTATCAACATGGTGTCGGAGGATGTAACATAATAAAGTAAGCATTGGAATTATATTTAAGGAATTTATATTGATTATTTCAATACATAACAAGAAGTTTATTTGAATTTGTAGGTTGTCGGTGATTGAAGCTCGTTCGTAAATTTGATTGCCCATAAAGAAACCGAATCATTATCACTTGAAAATCTAAATTTATCATACACGCAAACACGCAAACTCACTCTCTATTAATAAAAAAATACTTATCAATTGAGACGTGCATCTAGTTGTAAACGTAGAGTTTGACTTAAATTTTAAATTTCAGTAGCAACGTGTTTCAAAGCTACAATAGATCCATTTCTAATAATATCTCAAATTCTTAATAATACATTTTAAGAATTTTAAAAAAAAAAAAAAAAAAAAAATAAACGTGATATAATATAAATAACACATTTGAATTTTAACTATTTATTGGCCGTCACATGTTTTTCTAGCAACCTGATTGCCGGGTCGCCGGGCAAACAAATTTGACGAGTGTCCCGTGACTTATTAAAACACAACAGCTGTAAGAAACTCATTTTGTCACTCGATATCTTATAATTGGTGAAAGTTTGAAGTTTCTCCGCATTCTTTTTCGGGAATATATTTTAATAATTACAATTTCTTTTATTTATATTCTGGAATACAGAAGCTTTTTAAAACTAACAACTACACTTATGAGTCTGATGGTAAAATTGCATAAGCCATATTTTGAGAACTGTAATTTTTTGACAACTGACTATTTCAATAAGCTCAAATACCATCTATCCATTCATCTGAATGAAAGTTTCCATTATATTTATAAGGGACATTTTTTTTATTGTTATACACCATCAAACATGATAAGTAATTGATAGCCTTTTAACTTGAAATCATTATTATATATAATAAAAATTATTAAACTTTCTTTATTAGTAAGATTCGCATGAGAATAATATTAATTACATAGATGTGGTATACTGACACATTATACCATTGAAATTATAGATAATTTTTTTGGTGTGAAATTCTAGTCGTCTATGACCCCTCATAAAAAACATACGTATTCTTTCTTGTCCAGGATAAAATAACTTTTACAGCTATCTTGTACATCCATTGTTATTTTGATGCCGATATAGTAAGTTGAAATACGTTAGATTGTAAACCATATGTTTCAATATCTATAATTCTACCTTTTGCAGTGGTAGGAGCGAAATGTACAAGGATGTTAAATAACTTTTGTACAATATTCTAACTTTCCGAGATCACCTTTCCTCTTTCCGGGTGTATTTCGAATCACGCTAAGACTTCTGTGCCTAATGATTTAAGGAAAGCTTTTCCATCAAGCTTTGGACTACTTTTCCAGAAATGTTCAGAATTTCATTGTTTGTTATAGGATTGTGTAACTAATTCTCCATAATTAAACGTAATATCGGTGTTTTCTGAGAAAGGCATTCTTCAATAAAGGGTGTTCATATGTGTGAATAATATTCACGTTTAGACTATCTTTTTTATACAAGTATAAGTGTTAAATTATGTCATTCGATGCAGTAGAGTAATTGATTAAATTTAATAAATTAAATTTTGATGTTTGCTATTGTCAGAATTTCATTAAAAAAACAGTAAGTGTAATATAAATTATTATATTATTGTCACTTATTTTCAAATGTTATTATGTCTTATGTAAAAATGCTTCAAATCCAAATTTTTTTTTATGACCTAAAATTATAAATTTATCTAGAAAGAGAGAAAACCTAATAGCAAAAACTAAACTATATTAAAAACTGAAAAATCAGGGTTATCGCGTGCATGTGACAAAACTGCTACGCGTAATGTTGAATAGTTTAACAATAATTCGTAGTTATCATAGAACATTTAACGATCAGCCAAATTGGGAAAATATCGATCTAATGATTTATTCTAATATAGAAATGTAGATTTCTGTGACCTTTATCGATGAACTCATGTCAAACTTAAAAGGGGCAAGTGTAGTAAGAAGTTTGAATGTGATAGTATCCATATACTTTGTTCCGGATAAATGTTGCCCGGTAACCATTAATATCCGGGTAATTCAAATTCATTTTTAATCCTATCTTTATTGGTGTGAAAAAAGTTTTATAGATCATATATCATCCAGAATTACATGGAAATGTAAATAAAATTTTATATATTCGCTTTTAAAATATAGTTGTAGAATAATTAAACGTGTTAGAGAAAAATTTACGAGTGATAATTTTTATGTTTTTTGTATTGTTTAACGATTCTAGATTCATTTTCAAGATGATAATAATATTTTTAAAAACAAAAAAGTGTGTAGAAAAGTCAATCTCATGGGTAATTAATTATATTCTTCCCATTCCAATGTTACATACGATTGAAGTAAGTTCTAATGAAATAATAAATTTTTGTAATGACTTTTAATTGGCAAAAATAATTTTCTAATCCTAAATGAAGTACCATTTATGTCATTTAATTTAGTAATATTTGAATCTTGCGAATTAATTAAAGTTAACATAAACATCACTAAATAAAGCCGCATTTGGGTTATCTGTAAGGCTCAACTCTAGAAATTCGAAAGATTTGTTAAATTTAAAACAACCCATAAATGTTTCTTAGAAAATAATATAGGTATTTCAAATTGATAAATATCTTATCTGACGTCAAATAATGACGTCAAATAAACAGTTCATTTATTTATACTTTTTTAACTTCACAATTTTTCAAAAAAATTGCTATTAGTAAAAAAAAAAAAATAGTAATTCGTTTAGATACAAATAATTTTAATAGTCTAATAGATTAGTTAAATTTATCCATTTTCAACAGCTTTCTTATACCAATAAATAGCATTTTTTATATTTTTATTTGTTCCTTCACCCTGTTCATACAAGAAATTTTTGTGCATCACAACTACCTTCATAAGCTGCCATTTTATACAATTCAAAAGCCCCTTCTTTATCAATATCAATTACTATTCCATTATTGTAAAAATATCCAACTTTATATTGAGCTTATAAACATCCTTGATTAGCCGATTTCTTATAAAATTTAAATGCCCTTACTAAATTCTCACTAACACTTTTTCCTAATTCGTAAAATTCCCCTAATTTGTATAATGAAAATTTATTGTCGTTTTCCGCAGCTTTATGATGCCAATAATTAAGTTTATTTAAATCATTCATTTTATCATAATTTTCATCTAACGATTCGATACTATGCACATTGATGTCTTTATTTCCAGCTGCCTTATTATATAACATGAATCCCATTTCTTTATTAATCTCTGTTCCAATTCCGGTGTTAGACCTGGAATCGTCTTAAAACCAAGCTAACAAAACTAATAAACTTAATAACACAATTATCTTAAATGTCTTTCCTAAGAGAAATTGACGGTAAACAAATAAAACAATTTATTATCACGATTCACTTGTGTAGTAGGTTATCACAATCAATCCTATGATGAAGACAAGAAGAAGGTTGAAAGTGTAAAATAGTAACTTTATTAACTGTAGAGTTATAAGTCTAGTCCCAAGACTTATCTCAATCCCTGAGCAAAACTTACAGGTCTATTTATATAAAATTGCTAACTAATACTATACTACGCCTTTCAATAAGTACATATAACGAAAATAATATAAGTAATGAAAATAAGACTATATAATATTTATATTAAAAGGTAAACTATTCGATACATATAATATAAAGTTGACTAAACGATACATGTATGTTTAACATGTATGATATTTGGCGCAGTTAACGATCATTTTAAGGCACAGTACAAACTGCGGCTAACACCGGTAACATAACAATAACCAAGGTAAAATTTTGCATTTTGATCTTCTTGTTAAGCGCCCTTTTGATAAAATTCAAATGCTTTAAACTCATCTTTTTTAACAGCATTTTCCAATTCATAATGCTTGCCCATATTAGACAGTCCAATGCTATCTATATTGTCTGCTGCTTTTTGACACCTATATAAGCTCAATTCAAAATCTCTTTTTATTCCTTCGCCTTATTTATACAATACTGCAAGCATATTTTGCGCATAAATATTACCATATACTGCTGCTTTTGATACCAATAAAATGCTTTTTCAAGTATTTCTTTACTATATAATGGTACTAGATTAAATTGTGCAATTTCATTATCCTTTTCTGTTATCTGTTGATACCAATAAAAGGCTTTTTCTAAATCCTTTATAATGCCTTCACCCTGTTCATATAAATAACCAATAAAAGCTTGTGCATTATCATATCCTTTTAGCCAAATCTTTACTTATTTTAAATGCTTCTTCTTTATTAATATTAGTTCCAATTCCAAAATAATAGCAAATTCCAAGCTTATATTTTCCATATATAAACTTTTTTTCATGAAATTTTTTATATATTTTCATATGCTTTACTTTCATTTTTTCTATACCTATTCCTAATTCATAGCATCTACCTAAATTAAATAATCCACATAAATTTCCATTATTAGCCGCTTTTTGATACCAATAAAAGCTTTATCAAAACTTTCATCTGTACCTATACTATTTTCATAATAAATACTAAGATTAAGTTTTCCATAAATACTTTCATTTTCTACAGCTGTTTGCATCCATTTAAAAGCAAGTGTATGGTTTATTTCAGTTCCAAATCCTTCTTTATAACAATTTGCAAGATAAACTTGTGTAATGGGATAATTAACTTCATATTTTCAGAAGCGCCTAAAAATAATTTAAATGATTCACATAATTTTTTCTCGATATTGTCACTATTTAAATACAAAAATCTCAAGAAAAATTGATAAATTGATTTTCACATGATTTTCGTTATGCCATTAAAAAATCTCATTTGAAGTTCGATTTGAAAGAAAAATTCAATGATCAATAAAATGTTTGGTTCAATGAATTCCTTCATCATGTGACTTAATTAAAAGCTTAATTAGTTTACAAATAAGGAATTCTACACAATCTTCGGGATCAGATATTTCTAAAAATACTTTTCTGCTTGATATAAAATATGTTGTGAATGGCATTCATTATAAATTGATTCTAAATCACAATCAATTAATTTGCTTAGAAATAATTCAGAATCACTACTATATACTTACTATCAATGTTTACTGTTTCTGTTTTATTTTGAAAGGAATTTGAAAAAAATAATGGAACCGATTTCATCATTAGTTTTTCCAACATTATTGATTGAAGTGACTTGACGACTTGTTGCATCGTAGGACGTTCATTTGGGTCATCTTTCCAACATGCTGACGAATATTTATAAAATTAAATTTATATGAATAAATTGCATTAATATTTACCTTCATACAAATTACTATATTCAATAAGAGTATTCACGACAATTTGTTCTCTCATTCCTTTCCTAATTTTCATAATTAAATTTGCATCATATTCTACATTCTCGGTATAAAAAGGTTTATACCCACTTGAAATTTGCCAAAGGAGGATTGCAACACTATAAACATCAGACTTTGGGTTTAATTTATAATGTGTGTCTTTGTTCTTATTTTGAATATTATTTAAATATTTTGGATCAATATGAGGAATAACACCAAATATATCTGTTGAATAACTTGACTCATCAGTTATTTTTCGCGATAAACCAAAGTCTGCCAACTTTATATGTTTCTGACGTACAAGTACATTTTGTGCAAGCTATATAAACAATAAAAAGAAATATTGATTATATTATTTGATAAAAATTACCGGTAACTAAACAAGCAAAACTTATTTCTTACCAAATCACAGCGAACAATTCCTTCGTTATGCATACATGCTACAGCATTCCCAAGTTGCAAGGCTAGTGGAAATTTACAACTCATTCTAGGTTATTAAAATTCTCCTTTAAATAAGATTGCAATGATCCACATCAGCGTACTCCATAACCAATAAATAATTGTTTGTTAAATTCGATTTTGATATTCCATAAACTTTATGATAATCAACTTCGCGTTGCATTTTTATCTATTTTTAATATCATAACAAGGCAAGTTAATATGTTATATTTAATATTAAATTACATTGTTATAGTTTACCTCATTGACCATCTCTTTAATAGACAAATTATAAGAATGTTTTAGAGCAATGATAGTTTCAGAACCTTTACAGTTTGCGCATGAAACATTTCCATAAGAACCGCAGCTATCTTCTTCCCAATTAGTGAACTCTGTAAAACCATAACACTTGATATAATTTTCCGATATCACTCTTTCTAACCAATCAATATCAGGGTTGAAATCATTCATCTCGATGCTCGACTTTAATATATGTTTTTTAATTAAAGCTTTGTCAAAAAGTTCAAATATACGGTTTAAATAGCTATACCTGTGTAACAATATACTTATTTGTCGATTAACACAAACAAGCATATTTGACGTACAAAATTCGCGGAATTCCGATTATCGTTACACTCTCAAGAAAATCACTTCAATATTTACTTTCAAAAAATTAGTTACTACCTATGATTTTTTTTTATTTTGTAAAAAAAAAAAATAAATGAAATATTAGAAAAAAAAATAAAATAAAAATACAAACTCATGCATTGTTTAGCAAATTTTATCACAATGAGTTTAAAAAATCAACAGGGTTCAATCCATGTTAGACCAGGCTAAAAAAGATTTACGTGACCCGGCTTATTTTTTATTATAAAATATTTAATCACGTGACTTCGCGATTTTTTCGTTACTCGAAACTTGGTATCCTTACCACGTTTGAAACTGTTATATTCTTATCAATAAATCTGTTCCCAAGTATTCCTTTGCAAGTTTTAAATTCTGGCAGATAATGAAGCATTAAAGCTGGTATATCATTAGAGTCGCTGAATAATTTAAATGTTTAATAGTTTGCCATGCATTGTTTTCCAATCCTAATTTTCCATTTTGTCCATTTTGCATGGCTAAAATATGCAACAAATATTTCCCATAGTTTTGGTTTTTAATTGATAAACTATTACATTTTTAGATCTTCTATATTAATAATAGGAAGCCCTTCCAATTTTAGAATTTGTCTCAACATGTACAATTATTATTTGCATATTTTAAATGAGAGATTATAAGAGATTTTACAGATTGATTTAAAAATTTTAATTTTATTTATGTAAATATATATAATACATATATGTATATAAATATATAAACCGGGTGACCATGTCAAATTTAAAATTTTATGTCACGAGAATCTAAAAATTTGTTTTGCCGCTCATTCTATAAACCTGACTCACCCGTAATATATTCAAATATTGATTTGAATAATCTTTCTGATATATAATTGAATTATACAGGTATAATAGAGAAATTATAATTTACATAGATTATAATGATATTTTTTAAGCGCAGGTAATTAAATAAAGCTTGACAAATGCTTTTACGCTCATGTGTTAATCGCGTAGTACTATAAATAAATTTTTAGAATGTCGAGAATCTAAAAATCTATTTGCCGGCCTAATGTTGAAATTTTTTATATGTTTCTATCAGTTGTACTGGGAGTTTTTTTTTTATAACTTTTTTTATTATAATTATCTTTTCGGTGTTCGATCGTTTCTTTGTGTTTTATTTTCATGCATTTGATTTATCTATTGAATTTTGCTTTATAGGTTCCTTCACTTTTGTAGGTTAGATTTGTTGTGTTTTTCTTGTTATAATTATTATTCTTCATATTATTATTGATCATTCAGCAATTATTTTTCCCAAATCAAATTAATATACAAAAAATAATTATATTATAAAGCTGAAATAGCAGCTGGTTATGCAATTTAAATTTACTAACGCTAAGATTGATTGAACCTTATTTATTTATTTTTTTTATTTGTTTATTTACAAAGCGATTCTTCATAATTATTGTAAGCTGAAATATCAATTCATTTAATTTCTGGGAAGACCCTGCATGACACAACGAATATTTATTATAAATTGAAATTACTGTATTAACCGATAAAATTATAGTAAGCAAAGAATTATAATTGTATAATTTAATTTTAAAATTGATTTTAATTGATTTTTATGAAAATTAAAGAGGCTTTTACTGCTTAATTATTTTTTTACATATAAATATAAAAATTATATCAAATAGAATTAAAGTTGCTAGACAAAATCTGGAGATTTGTAACTTGTCTAAATAGTTAAAATTATAATTTAGCAAAATTATATCAAACCCTTATTAAAAATCTTCAAAACTCAAGAAAAAGTTAAACTACAGTATATCAAAACTTATAAAATAGCGAAACTACATTATATTAAACCTTTAACCAACCATTTTGTTATGACTAACACAAATTTGTTGTGCAATAAAACTTTTTAAATAGCGCTTTACATATTATTTAGGATATTAATAAAATATATATATGGGCCCTTTGCAATAGAAAGGGGGGAAACGGCTGAAAAATTAAAAAATGAACCAATGAGAACATTTAATAT